AAGATGCCTCAGTGAATGTAAAAGATGTCCACTATTTCACTGCAACTGCAGAGGACGCTAATGATTTCCCTTGACTGAGGATAATGCCATTCTTGTGTAAATTAATTTTGTGTTCACGATTTTACCGTTTTTTTCTTAATGAGTATAAAAATTAATTTTTTTAATGAATAGGTGCCTTCTAAAGCAACCCGATATAATTTTGGTCCAAGACCCAACCCTAAGTCAAAATTTTGGCCGCAGATACCCAATATATTGTTATCAAAAAATAAAATATATTTTTAGTAAAATTGTTATAAACCAAAATTTGTTATTGGTTATCCTCCTGGGTCTATTCACCGTTTGAATCGTAGAGAACAAAGGATCAAAATCATCATGTTGAAGAAAGACCACATGTATTTCTCTACACCACCCAAGCCCCAGCGACTAAAGAATCAAAATATGGGGCCTCTCCAGAGTGATTCCCTGGGGGCCACATATAGATTTGAAATACAGCCCTGGGTGTTGTCAAGACTGCAATAAATTATTACTATGGTGTTTCCACAATCACAGAAAATTAACGATTTGAGGCTCAAAATTCCTTGATTATACCAGCTCTAGAATCGGTGGCAACAATGATGAACCGAAACCAAAATCCATGGTCAAATATGGAAATGATAAATACTAAAAAATGTTTGATAAAATATTTTTGTTCTGGTTTGCTGGTCGATGAAATTTATAATTTTATTTATTTAATTGAAATGGGGATTTCTGGTGCTTTATTTACGTTGTAGAAATTGTTTTGTTATTTAATGTCATCTCTCACAATTTTTGCTTATCCTTCACTCATATTTGGGTACAAATTCGTGTCGTCCCCATCTCAATTCATATTGATGTTGTTGTTTAGTTAGATTTCTTTTGTTCCATTGACATATAATATATAGGTGGGGGTTTTAAGTCTGTGAATAATTTTATCTTTGCAAATTAAATCATAGAGTTACAGTATTATTAACAAACGTCATCAAATCAGCATTTACACACTGTAAGCATTGCCTAGCGTAAGAAATTGAAACCTCCTTAGAATATAAATAAAATAATGTTACTACACTAAGTAGTAAAATTAAATTTTTCTTCTAAAATTAATAGTAGATGTGTGACTATTGCTTAGCAAATCTAAGAACAGCATTATTCTCTTTCACATATTCTTCCCATTGCAAAGCACGGGGTTTAGCAACTCTTAAATTTAATAAAAAAAAAATGAAAACACTTATTTATGCAGAAAAATGTATCCTGTTGTCACAAAACAAAAACAAGCCCTCTCGTCCAAGTTAGCACTTCATATATGTCTAGGAGCCCAGCGCCCAGCTATCCCTATGGTAAAAGCATCATCCAGCTCTTAAAAGTTAACCATTTATCATATAACTCATCATATATACCATATATTTATCACATATATCATATATTTATTAAGTTGCAGCCCCATAGTTACATGTCTAATACAGGATAGTCTCCTGCAATTTCCAAGAGTTGCAATTCGTCTCTGTAGGAAACTCGTGGGCGTGGAGCAAGTGTAATAAATTCTGACTCATCCTACTAATATTATAAATGAGAAAGTTTGGATGTATGGATGTATGGATGTATGTTTGTGACAAGTGAACGCGAAAAATACTGGTCGGATTGGGCTGAAATTTGGCATGATGATAGCTCACATTCCCGATTAACATATAGGCATATTCTTATTTCAAAAATCCTTTCGGGCTCCGCCCCAGTGGCTCTGGAGTTTCCCATGTTAACCTTATGAGAAATGGAATTATTGAAGCTTAACAGCTGTTTCAATTAAACAAGTTTGTTCTGTTCTGTGATGTTCAATAGCATTAAAGTTACAAGGATTACCAACAGGGTGCAGCACTATTATTTCTTTTACATTTATGACAACAGCTAATTTGCAACCAAAAGGTGAGTGAGCGTAGCGAACGAACTTCAACCTGGAGGCGAGTTAGCGCAGCGAACGAGCTCCAACCTAAAGGTGAGTGAGCGTAGCGAACGAGCTCCAACCTAAAGGTGAGTGAGCGTAGCGAACAAACTTCAACCAGGACGTGAGTGAGCCATGCGAACGAGATAATCTTGAAAATTAAGAAGTTAAACGGGGCAAAGCCCGCGGGTTACAGCTAGTAAGTAATATTTTGGAAACAATATGATTTGGACAGATCCTTTTTGAAAATTATTATTCATGAAACATTAAGAGGTTCATTGACCATAATGAGAAATCATCTATATGGCAAACATCAAAATTAATCAGTCTTATAGCTGTAAAATCCTTAGATATTTTATATGTATTCTATTTTTCTGTGTCATTGGCAACCTTATTGTTTAAGGCAGAGGTATTTATTTTTATAAATAAATTCTTTTCTCTTATGTTTTTAAAACCGTTAACTTACCCGATGTTTCCTATTTCTTTACACAAACCAGTTTGTAGAGAATGTGCACTTTTTTAATTGGCATTTTTGTAAGGCAACTATTAATGTAGGTGGTATACGTTTCGTATTTGACAATATCAAATAGAACATTTTTTAATCATGTAACAAAATAGAATCAATTAGCAAAAGATATTTTAAAATCACTTACATTTTTGGAACCTACATCGAGACCTTCTTCAGTTTTGAAATATTCTATATTAATAAGTATGTTAATTAATTAATTGTCTCTGCCTTTAGAAAAAAACTACAAATTTGTGCCAACAACGTAATCTTAGAGATGGAAATGATATTCGTGGGAAAAAGACACAATTTCAACAGGAACAGGTGTTTTTATTTTCACAGATTCAAAAATCATCCCCAAAATCCATCACCAAAATTCTAGACCAAACGTGAGATCGGATTCTTATTTTCTATATTGCACTGGGAAAATCTTAGAGTTACACATCAAGATACATAATCAGCTGATAATGAAACCTAAACAAGTTACAACAGATAAATATTGCAACCATACAGTCACATAGGTACTTCCATAGACTAACAAGTAGACGTCTCATCCCATTGTAAAATTTGAAGCTCGTTCTTCTTGTCTAGTCATGTTGGTGACACTGGGCGCTAGTGTTGACAAAACTTTGTTTCTATTATTTTAGGGTTAATTTATGATTTGTGCTTTACTGTTTGGTTATATAAAAAGAACGCAATATATTGTTTATGAATAAATTGTTTAGTTTGGTTAAAGGATGTTTTAAACAACTGAAATAACAAGAAACAAATTGTAAGCAAAAACACGATCCTAGCAACACTGGACCGAACTAACAATAAAATTGTCTTGAGCTGATCCATTAGGATGACAAATCTACTAAGGGAGTATGTTTCATCTATGGTACTTAGAGGCCGTACTTGATTCTGCATATCAACAAATTGACTTCTCGTCAAGTTGATCTTGAATTACGAAGAGTGCCAACTCTATTGCTGTAAATTAATCTTGTTGATTAAATCCTGCTTGAAAACACAGGAGAATAAATTAGGCTTATATTTTTGTACAATTTGAGCTTGTTTGAGCTATTTTAAAGATATACAAGTTCACCTTATCTATGAATAATTTTCCATTTTAGGTTAGCGATCTATGGGTAAGAACTGGCAAAAGATTCACACATAAATAAACTTAAACTAAACAACAATATGATAACTAGAGTATAATTACTATACATTTTAAAACAAGTGTTTTTTTTACTATACAGCAAATTTTATATTAATTTTGCTGAGTAAGTTTGAAAAAGTATGTATTTTTCTTTTTTTTCTCTTACAATCTTTTATCAGTTCTTACAAATAAAAATAAATAAACTAAAAGCATTTTCACTCCTGTTGCTTCTTTGGTCGTATTACTTAACTTATAAAATATCACTCTTTGTTACATAAAGGGCAGATTCTTAAAAGAGTATAACCTTACACTAGTAAAAAAATATTAAAGCAATAAACGACAAACACTAAGTTTTACACAGTACCCAGACACTTTCAAGAAATTACCATAGGATTTGCTACTGTAAATAAACGGTATCAGCATTCTGACACATACTTTCTCCCATTAGTTTGTCAACAACCTTTGTCATATGTAAGCGGTGAGAGTAAATATACGGAAATGGGATTAGTACAATTTTGATCAGAATTTAAAAGACTATAACATACTAAATTTTATCAAAATCGTTCGGGCCATGTTTGTGAAAATCCGATTTTTCCGTTATTTTATAGGGTTTTTATGGGAAATAACATAATTTACGATAACTTTTGAACCGTAATTTTTACAGAAATGGGATTTGTACCATTTTGTTTAGAATATTAAGGACTATAACATACTAAATTTTCGTCGAAATCGTTCGGGCAGTTTTTGGGAAAATCTTATTTTACCATTATTTTATCGGGTTTTATGGGAAAATCACCATTATAATCAAAATTTCTAACAAATTGATAAACTATCAAAATTGTAAGGACAATAACATACTATGTTAAATAAAAAACCGGATATTTTTTCTAAAATCCTATTTTTCGTTATTTTATGGGGTTTTTATGGGAAAATAATATAATTTACTATAACTTTTGAACCATAATTTTTAGAGAAATGGGGTTTGTACCATCTTATTCAAAATCTAAAGGGCTACAACATACTAAATTTTTATCAAAATCGTTCGAGCCATTTTTGAGAAAATTAGATTTTTCCGGTTTTTTATGGGTTTTTATGGGAAAATCCCCATAAAAAATCAAAATTTCCAAAAAATGAAAAAAACGCCTGGAGATACCGTGGATTAGAACCTACATACCAAATTTCATCGAAATCGGACCACAGGTGTAGTCTCTAGCTCTGTACACATCCAGACACACAGACACACACACACACACACACACACACACACACACAGACATCACTTCGAAAACCACTTTTTTGGGTCCAGGGGGACCCAAAACGAATATATCCACTCAAAACTCAAACTCGAAAATTTTGACGAAAACAATACTTTCTCCATATACTATGGTATAGGGGGAGAAAGTAAAAAATTATGAAAACGTTGTTGTTTTAAGTTGTTCTTGTCTCTAGATCTTTTTGTAAAACCTTGAATCAACTGTGTTATCAATATTTGTCTTTGTGATTTAAAACCCGTTATTATTATTTGCAACAGCTATTTCATTACCAGTATTTTACAGTTAAGTGTCCAACAACATTGTATACCATGCAAGCAACAGTTTGAGCTGGCCTAGTACAGTCCAGAGGGTAAGTCCATCAGTTTTCCTGAGGAGATGCTGAGATTTACATGATGCAGACTGTTGAACCCTCGGTTGTACAGCTCAGACATTGTCTTGACTCTATTGGTCGGGACTAGGTTCGGCTCCCTGATGTGGTGTTGCCCAGAGTACAGTCCAGCATTGGTGTGACCTCGTTTTAGCACAAACTTCTGATCCGTGGGTGAAGAGTTGCGAACAGGCAAGAACACCGACCTCTCTATAGGTTTTTCCTCTCTCATTTGAGGTCTGTACTCCCTCACTCGGTTGCTAGGACTACGAGAGACGATCACAACCGAAGAATTGTTCACTCTTTGTTCGTCTCGGACGTTCGTATCGGATGTTACAACAATATCGACAAGGCTATCCAATCCTTCCCCGATCCTATCCAAGCTTTTTGACTTTAGCTTCTTTGTTTCTTTTGCTGTGTCGATGTACACCGTCGTTCCCTGTTTTGGTCTACCTGATTCGTCAGAGCCGAAATAGGTGTTTTGGACGTCAGTGACGTAAAAGAGGCCGTCAAAACTTCCCCTTCTTGCTTTGATCTCGGGGAGGATTTCTTTTTGGACGATTTGTGGAGCGATTCTCTGATGGTGGAATGTTTCTCGACGCCGTATTGAGGACTTTGGCTCTCCTCGGTCGGCTATAATCATCGTCTCTCGTCGCTTGATCGCTGGCTTTCCGACCTCCGAGTGCTCGATGGTGCTTGGCTCCTTGCACGTGCTAAGGAGAGAGTCAGAGTTATCAATACTGTCTTCATCCTCAAAGAACGGATTGTGATCGTCATAGTCTCGTCCAAGCAGGTACAGGCTCCTAGACCTCCTGGGTGGTTGAGGGAGGAGTCTGAAACAGGGTAGTTAAAATAATGACTATCTTTCAGAATACATAATGAAATAAATTGTATTGAATTCAGAAATTTGTCGGTAAGGTAATTTAAAATATCTCTGAAAATTAATTCAGTTAAAGTATTTGAGTATTTGATTGCTGATTGACATGGGTCATGTATTGTTTAAGTACCAAACATATATATTTTTGGTGTGAAAACCATGGTTGAGAACCACCTCATCATTGAAGTTACACCAAGATCTGCTTAGGTTGATCAAAAGGAATAACATAATATAGGCTACAGTGCATTGATTATATCAAAAGTGGCATTTGCTAAGGGTGCATTCAAGGTTTAATTGTGCTTTCAAGGTGAAAGTGAGTCTTTCTGAACACAGAAACGCTAAATTTAAAGTACAAGGCAAAGCCAAGTCTTTGTACGAGAAAAAATTGCTAATGAGAAGCACTTTTGATACCTACAAGTTATAACTACTATTCATCACAAAGTGCAAACTAACGTTAGTTTTATATTTACAGTGAGTCTTCCGTTTGCAGGTGGGCAGGTGAAAAACTACTTGGGAGTAAGACAAGTTAAGTAAAATCAATGGAAAATCAGCCTATTGTTTTCTCTTTGCTCTAATGTTTGGGACTATGCAAAAGAATAATTTCCTTTGACATAAGCTACTGTGATTTACAATCATACCCCATCTGAGTTATTATTCGATAACTGCTTATTACACTGTTATTATCAATGAATGTACATAAGAACCACCTCTGAGGAACGATGTCCGCTTCGTCGTCCAGTATGAGAGCCTCACAGGTCAGGTCTGTGTTGGATCTGTGTGTGAGCCGTTGGAAGTGTTTAGCCAACGTCTCCTCCTCTCTACTACCTCTGCCTCTCCTGTCACACAAGTCCGTCTCTGCGTCGTTGATGATGTTCTGTAGCTCCTCCATCACCTTAGAGCGACATTCATTAGCATAGTTTAACCTTATTTTCATCCACATAAGGGAGATTTTCTTAACTGTCAAATATGACAATGACTTAACATATAAGGGGTAAATACAGACATTTTCCTTTAAACTAATTAGGAACTAATTAGGATTGCCTTAAAGACTCATTCAGCTTTTAAAAATTGAATTCCACAGCCGAAATCAGCAGGTAGATAAATGCCCACTATGATGTGAACCCACAACATTGCTGCCTTGGATTCATAGTCTGTTTACCTTTTAAAAACACCGCTTAAATTTGTTCTTGGTGTTTTATACAAAATAAAAATTCTATATAACTATGTCATATGCATGAGCATTCTGTTAGTCACCATTTATGCACATGCTTCTTCTGTATAGCTTAATCCAAATACATCATCAACTCTGTTTTTAAAAATATTGTTAACATGCATTTTTATTCCAAGGGAGTCATGCGAAGTTAGTAAATATAGTTAGTTGCAAGTTTTGAAAATCTTAATCAGGAAATTAGTTTTAAAAACATGCTACTACCTCCTCAATAGTTGTTTCTTCTTCTTCGTCCTTCACATCAACGTTAGTCTCCCGCCCGTTGTTCAAGAGTATGGTGTCGTTTTGTACATTGAACATTTCATACACAAGTGGTTCCCTCTCAATGTCTTCTTCATCCTGGGGAAAAGAAATTTGTGAATTCTTAATAATGGATGGTGGTAGTAACGTTCCAGATCTTATATTATGTTCAATGAATCTTCCGCTGCTCATGATAGCTACAGAAATATTTTGTCAACATTTTAAAGATTCTTTCTTAATACTAGGGAACAATACAAAGATTTCTTTAGCAAATAAAAATTAACTGAATGGCAAGTTAAATATTTAACACCAACAAAGATGCCAAGAGACATCACAGAAAGAGTGTTAAGATTGTACCTGGTCGGAGGAGCTGATTCCCTCGTCCTCGGCTGGCGTTGAGCCGCTGCCATCCTTGTTGTGAGCTCTTGACGGAACTCGCAGGGAGCTCACTTCACTCTCAAGCTCCGAGCAGCGAGACTTGAGAACACCCTTCTCCTCTTGCAGAATCTGCACAAGACAAACAATCAGTGACAAGTAAGATTAATTTGGTATTATTAATTATATTTGTAACGTACTTATGACTAGACAATTTCACATACAAATCAGGTTTTGTCACTATTTAACGGACTATTGCAAAAGATAGTCCAATCAGCTTGATCATCCAACTTCAAAAAAAAGCTTTCTAATCTTGTTCAGGATCCATCAGATCACCACTACTATTACCAAATAATTAAATATTTCATGAGGTGATAACACTTTAAAGTCTATTAATGTTACCACAATGTACCTGGACTCTTCGCTCTAACACGGTGAGTTTCTCTTTCAGGGACTTGACCTCTGAAATGACATCGTCAGACTTTGCTCGCAGTGCTGCTACATCTATGAAGTTCCTGTCCCAGCGAGCCAGCTCAGCACGTACTGTCTCCACACCTGGTGCCTTGCTGGGGAGAGTCTGTCGTAAACATGGCAAGTCAAACATTTGAGTTGTAAATATTGCTAATTAGTTTAATTAATTTTTAAAAGTTAATTTTTATCTGACAAGATCAATCCAGACATCTGGTCAATGATTGCCAGTTGGTAATGGTAGTTTTAATGGTTGTGGTTGGAAACTATGGAATAATTTTCTCAGGATCGCACCAGTTCTGGCTACTAGGCGAGCACTTTAGCCACTTAACTACTTAGCTAATTTACTCAAAAGTGTTAATGAATTTTGTATAATTTTTATTTGGATACAAATTATCAATTTTCATGATTTAAGAAAATCTAATAGCTTTTAATTTTATGCTCAATATAAATACTAGAATACGTGTAATCGTATCAACCTTGGCCAGTATGCCAGGTTTGAGGCCGGCCTGGTCCAGCTCTGCTTGAATGTAGAAGCGCTGCTGCTCACTGGGTGCTGTCTCTACGAACGTGTTGATGAACTGTAGCCCAGCAGCCAACAGGTCTGGGCAAGCTCCTGACAACATGCCTACCAGGAATCTAAACCTGACTGGCTCTCCAAACCTGTGCAACATTTATTCATATTAGACTCCTGCATTGAAAATTGATACAAAATAATAGGAGTGGTTCCTTACCCGTCAACCACAAATGTGTTGTCAAAATCTTCACAATGGAGCATTCAACAGAAGTTTTGACAATGAGGCAAGCTAAGCCTTGAAACGTGGTCATTGGAAAACTAAGAAATTACGACAGTAAAAGGTAACATAACATATTATTTTATAGCAGTAGAACAATAAAACCGATTTTTAGTGAAAAGTTATAAATTAGTGACAGACCGAGCTGACCACTGACTGGAGTTAGTTTAGCGACTCCAGTTGAGTGAGAGAGCCAGAGGACCTTATCTGATTCTCTTGCTTTGGTTAAAGCCAAACCCAAATCTCATTAGTATCTAGATGAGTCTAATATTCACAACTGATTTGTAACTGAGGAAGAATCCACCTCATATACTCGATTGATCACAACAGGATCAAGTCTGATTTATGTTGCGTTGGATAACCTACAGTATGAAACAAACTGTTAATCCAAACATTTTCTTACCTGAGCCTCATGGTAGACATTGCGTCAGAGACGGGTCCGTAGCCCTTGGCCCCTGGCTGCTCACAAGTCTTTGTCAGCAACTGAAAACAAACATTTTTAAGTCCAAACAGCTATATTTCCTATTTACTTAATTAGCAATTTTTTTTTTTTTTTTTTGCTGATGAGATCATCAATAGACAGAAACAAGTAAAGTTCTCACCTAAGAAACCGGTTACCGGTATTTTTGTTTTCTAAATACTGTTGGTGGAAACCAGCTCCAAATCACCAGATCAGACTGACATATTTGTTTCCCAGATGCCAGTGGCATTAGGTAATGGATAACATTTAACACTTACAGTAGACTATCTCTCTTATTTGGACACACTGAACTACACTCGGCAGAAGTGACATCTCTTTAACTGAACAATTTTTATTGGCAGGTCGGGTTAAACCATACTGGATCGACAGGAAATGGGCTGTGCTAAAACAACTTTTCCCATGGCTCATGGCTTTTCTCATGCTTTGATACCAAATCAAATCAAATGGTCTTTATTCTCTGTATACAAGCATTGACTATTAGACCAAAATAGACATATGTACGGTTTTTTTTCTTTTTAAGGGAGAGAAGGGTAAATGCTTTTACGCACACAGGTAGCCAGCCTGTAGTGTGAGACTCCTGAATTTATCACAGAATACTCACTAAAAACCCCCCTCTACTCTGTTGGACACAGACCTGGAATTGTTTGTCACATTACTTCAAGTCAGGCCAACATGTGACCTAAGCCCTCAGGGCTCTCACCGTTTCTGGCATTTAGATACTTTATGACCTAAACTGCATCCTGGTCAAGGTTGAGCTTCTTGGCATGGAGAATACCCTGGATGTTATGTGACACACAGGTCCAATTGTCCTCACCCTTCATCATCATTGGTATGACCATGTCCACTGACAGCAGTCTTACTAACTGTTGAGCCTCCAGACGGGGCAGTGGAAAAAGGTATGTTCTAAGTAGTCGGGAATGCCTGGGCAGTATGCAATCAGGTGACACGGCTTTGCCCAACCTGAACAGGTACAAAAAAGCCGTGACCCTTCAGGAATTGGGTGAGGGAGGTAGAAGTCCACCTCTCTGCACTGCCGATTAACCCAAGGTTGGGCTTGCTGTATCAGTCGCCTGGTAGGTGCAGGTGCATTCCTCTATTCGTGCCTGGTCCTCTCCCCACGGCGTTAATAAATTGCCTTTCTCTCTGCCACCAAAAGTTTGACTGGGATGACTCCAGCAACCACCAGGACGGCAGGTTCGGACACTGTTCGGTAGGCAGATGCAACTCTTAGTGCTGGCTGACGCTGCACTCGGGCGAGCCGCATCCTATATACCTCCTTATTGTGGGCGTCTGCCCACACCTCCGCACCGTACAAGAGTAGGGACTAGACAGAAGATATAAACAGCCTTCTACAGCTGGAGCGAGGCCCTCCGACATTGGCCATCAACCTGCTAAGAGAGGAAACCACCCTAGCAGCCTTGTCCGCCGTACGGAAAATCTGATCCCGCCAGCTAAGCTTGCTGTCCACCATAACCCCAAGGTACTTGGCAGAACGGACGGTCTGGACTTTGACGGCTCCCACCCTCAATGGCACGCTCAAAGCGAGAGAGAGACCATGGTCTGCCATCCATGCGTTTATAGTACGCATAACTCTGTTCACCTTTAGCTAAGCCAGCTCAACGCTACGTGCAGCTATCAAAACTGCAACGTCGTCTGCGTACCCAACCAAAACAATTTCCTCAGGCATTTCAGACCTCAGAAGGCTGTCATAACGCTCTCATTCTCATTGGGAGTATTTCTTGTTATACTTTAGAAGCTGGTTAGAATAAAGTACAAAAAAATATATTGAGGCCCCATGCGTTAAGAATGATCACATATCAAGGAAAAGGGAGACATCCCTAGGGACCACAAAACTACAAAAACTTTGTTTTGAAATTGTACTAAAAATGTTATTCAATCTACCTTATACACAAGTTTAGGGGAATGGGCACACGGAAGGGACTAAGGCTAAAGGTGTAGTGACGTCATATCTCTAGTGGTTAATGTCTTCTCTTGAGGCGACACGATTACCGTTACGAAACGATGTGATTTCAGCGGCGTTCGTGGCATAGTTGGTAGCGTTTCGGATTGGTGTGCAGGAGGTCCCGGGTTCGAATCCCGCTGGTAGCACTGACTTTTTGTCAACAAATTTTTCATTTCAGCAAGTTTGGTTGGTTAGGTTAGGTTATGACAGTTTAATTTTATAATACTACATTTTAAAATTAATTTTATAATTAATTAAAAATTATAAGTAATTATTAATTACATTTTTATCTTATATAGTTTTTATACTATCAGCAAGTCTGGTTGGTTAGGTTATGTTATGACAGTTTAATTTTAAAAATTAAAAATTTATTTTAAAACAATATTTTATAATTAAAAAGTTAATTTTATAACTAAAAAAAAAAAAATTTAAATTATTTCAACTTAGCAGTTCTAGCGGCGAACGCTGACACTACAAGATATGTTAGCCTTAGTCCCTCCCGTGTGCCCCACCGCAAGTTTAGGTATCATGGATATAAATAAACGAATAATTTATTCTGTATCCTGGCAACAGAATCATTCCCTCTCAAAAACTTAAAGTTAAAACATTGTTTTTTTATTTCTTGAAAATGTTTAAGAAGTTTTTGGCCTGTACTGTCGCAGGTGCGGCGGGTTGGTGGTGGATATCTCAAAGACAGAATCCTCCCCCACCACCAAGCTCCGTCAAGAGGGAATTGAGGCAGTGGGTCCCTAGGCCAGGGCAGTAGACGAAGGACAAGAAGTGACGAGGCCCTGGAACAATGAGGTGGACACAGTACCCGGAGAGCCAAAACGACATGAAGGTGGACAAAGACATCCTTCCTGGAAATGGACAAAGATATAATAATTCCCGGAGCCGGACAAAGGGCGCATGACACGGAATTGGACAAAAGACACACTACCCTGAAGTGACGAAAGGACACTACCCGGAGCTTAACAAAGGACACATCAACTGGAAGTGAACAAAGGACACACCACCCGGAGGTTGGTAAAGGAAACCCAACTAGATTTGAACTAAGACTTAATACAATATACCTCAGGCCATTGTCTGCCACTGTTTATCTTGATAACCAAATAAAATTCAGTGCTTTATGGACAGTATAAGTTTCATGTGTTATTTAGTTCAAGCTTTATGAATATTTTTCTTTTGTTTTTTTCAACTGTAGTTTTACTTATTGGCAACTGAAAACTCCCTCATCTCTTTAGGTTCTCAATTAAACAAACTCTTTCACAGTTACCATCCTGCTCTTGACTTAAGTGAATTGAAAAATTGCTTAAGAAAAATTGAATGGAAAGAAGGTAAATACACTAAACGACAAAACAACCCTATAGTTTATGATGAACTTCTTGAATCCATATTTTTTTAATTTCAGGATAAATGTTAAAAATGCTGGCGGGCGTGATTTATACAAAACAATGTGCTGTGTACTCCCATACCATCAGCAAAGCTACAAAATAAAATTTAAAAATCAATTTTAGATTTTAGCCTTGTCCGCTGTACAGAAAATCTGATCCCCCCAGCTAAGCTTGCTGTCCACCCCAAGGTACTTGGCTGAATGGGCAGTCTGGACTTTGACGGCCCCTACCCTCAACGGTGTCAATGAACTGGTGGTCACTGGCCGTGTAATCCTAGTGGACTCTCCAGGCTCTGATCCTTGGCAAAAGAGACTCAGATGCGAGGGTAATGTCTGGGATCGTTCCCTGCATCCCAGGGTGCCGAAAAGTTGCCCTCGTTCTTGCCCTGGCTTAGCCTTGGCCTTAATTGCACCCAAGACCTCGGTGAAAGATCTCCCCCCTGAGGGTTTGACCAGGATTGCCCCAGTCCTGGGTTTTTTTGGCCGCGAATTTTTCGGAGCAGAGACTGAGCCGGGCCCAGTTTGGGGCAAGCCGGTGGGCTGTGCCTTCGCTGCCACATTCTTCATAGAGGCAACCTCCGCCCGCCTCAATTGCCTCTTCTCCTTTAGGGAACAGCGTTTTTCCCATGCAGCCACAGGTGTCTCTACAACTGATCCCTTTCGGGAACTTCTTTGAAGGGGGTCGTAGGTGCTTCACTGGAGCTGCAGCTACGTCTGAAAAGGATCTTGGTACAGCAGACAATATGCATAGCTTGCCGTCTGAGTCGCCTTGGCCTTTACCGTGGTCCTTTTGGTCTGAACGCCTTCTTCTCTTTTTTGTGGACTCTCTTTTTGAGGACTCTCTGATGTGGAAGACCTCCGATGTCTCTTAGAAGGCAGCTTTCTTTCATGGGGCAGGGAAACCACCTTCTCAGCAATCTTTTCCATGGCCGCCTTGCTCACCAGACGGCAGGCAGAAACGAAGCCAAGGTCATCCTCTAGTTTGGCCATACCGTTTTTGACCACTTGATTTACGGCTCTCTGGATCCAGAAGGTGCCCAGCATAGCCTTAATCGTCTCTTCCATGTCTCGGAGCCAGGTTTCAATGCTACTCTTTGCATCAAGATATTCCTGACGCAGAAGCACCATCTCAGAGCCTTCCGACCGCAACGTTGCTGTGAAAGGCTCCTCTGGCATCCCTACAGCAGAACTGATTGGCAGGGGAGTTGCTGGCAACGCCAGTTCGACACCTGCATCCCCAACGTTTTCTGCACCGTTCCCAGCTCCACTTGCCGAAGGAGATCCTAAATGGGGTAACTCCTTTAGTGCATTTGAAATGTGCAGGTGGCGTAGTGTCCTCACGTTTTTTGGTGGTAGCGACCTCTTGACCTTGGAGCTACGAACAAAAGGGTTCCGCTCCACTTTCAACTTCTTTTCTTGCTCATTTGAGCTCTTAATAAAAAATTTATGTGTTATTAGAGGTTTTATTAAAAGCTATCGTGTTTATTCCAGCGCATCGTGCGGCAAGGAGCGGCCTGGAATCAGTCAGGAACAGGTATACCCTCAGGGACAAATATACTGTAATACACATGAATAGTGTCAGTATACAACTGTTACCGATTGTTGTATTTGGATATAAGTATGGTTAAAAAAAGAGAACAACTGAAATTGGATTAAATTAACTAAACAAAATATGTTGACCATATAATAAACAGGTATTATTTAAAGATTCACATTAAATTATATATTTTTTATAAGTTTGTATTAACAGTACCACTGTACAGACTATCAAAAGTAGAGTTTGTAAAAGAACTAGGATCAGATAACCATGCTAGGATAGACTAATGAATATTAATCAGAAGTAAAAAAGCAGAGCATGGTTTTGTGGGAAACACTGAGAGTCAAAGACCGACTGCACAACAGTAGATACTTGGGTGGGAACTGAATGACCTGACACTTGCAGCTTGTTGCGGTAAAGGGGTCTGGAGATTCAAGATTGTCTGATCACTTATTTAAAAGTAAACAAATTGCATCCAACACATCTATTTTGCACATTTATTAGAGATAACTCATTGTTTGGCAGTACGTGTCTTAGCTATACTACGTTCACAAAATTTAGGTAGTTTGAGGGGAAGTGATTCTATCCCCCTCCACCTCACTGTAACTTTGAAACAATAACCAACAGATTATAGGCTGATGTATAGATTAACCTGGAAAAGGTTGTGGGAGAACAAAGGAAACCTTCCCCTTAAACCGCTTAAATTTTGTGAACGTAATAGTAATTGAAGTTTACAATGTTTCAGTGATGGATGCATGAATTTGTCTTAGTGGTAAATAATCCCATCTTTGAATCTTCACAAAAAAAAAAACACAATTTACACAAGTGTTATAGGGAATCAAAAGCGACGACACCCAGAGGTACTGATGTGAAACGTGAGGATTTAAGATGTAATTGTGCTGGCAAATATTAGCAATAACTGTCTAACAACATATTATATTTTGTACATTAATATAAATAACAAGGTGTGCTTCATAGTTTTTTTTTTCTGCTGGCTTAGTCACTTTAGTTTTTATTTTACAACAACTTTAATATTGAATAGTTAGTTTTGACGTACTTCACTCACTGCTTCATTTACTCCTCTTTAAGATCAATCTTCTTTGGGATGTCCATCTCTAATCAGTAACAAGTAATATAAATAAACTATAGGTCTTAATTTTATGTAGGGTCTGCAATGTTCATTCAGCAATTGTTATTTTTTAGTTATTGATAAATCATAATGTATGATGTCCGACTCAATTTTGGAATTACAAACATTTTACAGATAGCTGCAATTATAACTGAGTTTTAATCACATTTAATTTAATTCTGCTTACAATAATCCCAAACCTAATCTTAATCACACATACCTCTAGAGCAAGTATCCTAGACTTGTTGACGTTGCTCATAATGCATACTGCGAGTGTAAACAGTCCTGCAGGGGACGAAGCAAACCTCCGCGGTGCGTCCTGACAACGCAGACAACTGCGGAGACATTGTAGACATGCATGCTCGTCCAGCAGACATCTGCCACAATGAGCAATATCACAATCAGATGAATGCTCAACTAAATCATTGTTTGCCCCTACATATGGTTGTCATTCAAGAAAACAGAGGGTTGTGCTAACAACAGTGTAGAAAGATAAGATAGTTTTACTTTCCAAAGATAAAAATTGTTTCTCTGAGTAAGGCTAAACTAGTTAACAACTATGTACTTCAAGCCCACTTATTATTTGCCACCTAATTTTTTTATTTATTTGACTAAACTATACTAAAGAGCCCTGCAGACACTGGAAGAGGCTCTTGACATGTTACCAGGACTAGTATGTCTTGGTGAAAAAGAATCAATATAGAATTTTCACAAAACTACAAGACACTATCAACCAAAACTATTCCACATTCGGCAATTCTGCACAGGTAGTGAAGTGTTTGAAGTAATGAGAATGTTCAGAAGTGAACTGGTTCATAACAAAAGACAAACATATATCAGACTAGGAATAAATGTCAGAAAAGCCTTTGCTGTAAAAAGTGCCGTAGTACAACTATTCTTCACGCCGTACTTTTCATTCCACAAGATCCACAGGTTTAGTAGTTTTATGACAATCTAATAAAATACACCTTGGCAAAAATTTAAGACTAGAGTGCAAGGAATTTTGGTTTTGGTCATAGATTTTCTCAGGAATTTAAGACATAAAAGAACCTCGTTGCAGAAGAAACCAAGGTCAATGGAGTAATGAACTTTGATAAAAAATGCTTATTTGCAGTTGACTTGTGTCAACCTCAAACAAGTTAATAATGAAAGGCTTAGTTATACAATGTGTTCAGCTGATCAGTGTACCCACCTTCTCAACACAGGAGCAGGTACTCTTCCGTTGTGAGATGCCTGGGACAGTTGAATACTCCTCAGTAACTCCAGCAGCAGAGTCACTCCGTCTACAGGGTCTCCCACAAACTCTTGGACGAAACTGGAACAATACATGGTGACTAAGATCTATATCCTTCTTTTGTCAAGATTGATACGAGGGTTGGGACATTGTAGAATGTGTGTAAAAAGTCTTCCAGTAAGTGTTCCAATTTTGATTTCTCTGGTTAGCAAAGCTGTTACAGTAGTTGTGTTTAAACCTTAAGGTTCCTGGTTCCCGAGCGCTGAGTGCAAGATTCTGAACACAACTGCCATTTGTCATTGCGCTCAATCAACTAATGATGCTATTTAACAAAGCTAAAGTTAAGTTAACAAAAAATCTTTTTTAAATGTAATATGGTGACAAGGCCAGGGTGTTGGGTCATTTTGTAACAAAACCCCATAAAGTGCCAATGGCGTAACATACAGAAAAATGAAAAGCTAGTTCCACAATGTGACAATATACAAAACAAGGGGGGGAGCAAGGTGTTCTAGTGGTAGAGCGTGGGACTTGGGTCCCGGATTCAAATCCCACCAAATCACTCGTGGATTTTAAAGTGATATTGGCACAACCTATAGATCTGGCCTGAAGTAATTTAAAAAAGAACGTATGTATTGTCTTCCCACTGTGATATCCATAGTTATAAGACCAGAAACTGTACTAAACTGAGAAATTATCACTGTACTTATAATATAATAATCAAAATAGCTTTAAATATTCCTCGATTAAGTTATTCAATCATCTACCAAATTATATTCAAGAGTTACCATTAGATAAATTTAAAATAGCTGTTAAGAATCTGTTATTGAAATACTGTTTCTATGACTTAGAAGAATTTTTTGACAATTGCTTTGACCTTTTAAATGTTTTAATAATTTACCGTTTACATATTGACACAGCCTATACAGCATTGTATGATTCTTGTACATTGTTGTCTTGGAATAAAGATTGATTTGATTTGATCCCAGGCTAGTCAGTCTTAGGACAAAAAAGGATATATCCGAAACGGAATTTTTAATAGTCAATAGTCCAATATGAAGTTGATTACCAATCAAGGACTCACATGCTAATGGAGCATGAAGCGTTGTATAACTTAAATATTGAGATAAAATGTTTTTTTTTATTTGAATTCTCTCAATTTTCTGTACAGTATTTACTTGTTTGCCGACGCCGAGGTATCACTTACTCAGAGTGTTTTCTGATAAATCTTACCTAGAAAAATATACCTAACAAGCAACAACTAACAGTTGAATAGCAGCTTACTTTAGAGAATACCTTACATCTTAATTCTGTTGGGTAGATGAATCATTCAAGTTTTACAACCGGTCGCACTAACGATTGCCGCCACAACATATTGTACGATATAATCGATATTGCGATATCTCGCCAACCGGTCCCCCATTGTGTGTCTGATTGGTCCCCGTTTACCAAATTAAATTACAGCTTAGATCGGATCAGGCCATTAGTCGGCTAATTTGTGCAACCATTCCAGATGTTGCGCAACGTGAAATCAGCTGGGCAGAGGCTATTAGAGGCAAATCGTTTAGTGAAAATGTTGATTGATAAAATAATTCTGTGTTTCGTCAATAGGAGTTTAAATGTCAAACTTATTTCTGGTAATAATAACATGGTAGATTACTAATCAATGTTATCAGTGTTGCCTTTGTGGTCCAACAATCTCTTGAAAATAACTATGCATATTTGGTAGAAAGTAATTGCCATACTGTATTGATTTGTTTAACGTGTTTGATTTTTTACTATAAATTGCAATTTTAATGAGTTTCCCTTTTTACCTCAACTTTTTCTTCAACTTATTAGCTAATAACATATTAGCTAAATTAGCTAATATGATAAAGGCGCTTAATCCCAAATTCATCAATTTAGGACTACAAGTCCAATAAATGATTTATTTTTAATTTTGGATTGTGTATGACGGACGATGGTTTGCTTCCTTCAATCAGTATGATGCAACCTCTTAGCAGTTACGTATTGCGAATCTGCGTACCCCAAATAGAAGGCGTTGCAAAAAATGAAAACAAAACTGGCAATAATAGACAGTTGTGTAGTCCCATGTAGGCATACACGAGATACAGATATTAACTAAAGATTCAATTACTCGAATATGCACAATGATATTATTTATGTGGTTATATAGCGTGCATGTTTATGTAGATTCTTTATGTGAAATTAAATTTGTGCGTGCATTGAGACCTCGACCATGAAAATCGGTCGGGTAGAAGAGCCAAACAACTAGGATAAGAAAAACCAAATTTAACTCCCATAAGAAGTACATTGGGAGCAAATTTCGTTTACGTATAAGCCGAGTGGGACTGTATATGCCGATGTTTGATGTGAAATCTTTGGGTGCATACCTTCAGTTTGAGGCCCCAAATCGGTCGGGTAGAAGAGCCAAACAAACTCGGAAAAGAAGAACCAACATTTTAAAATTTATATGAGTTTATTGTAAAAAACAACCGTGCAAATGAGATCGTTAGTTACTCACTATTTTACAACTAATTGATAGTTTGTATAAAAATCTTACCCAGAAAAACTGTTATAACCCGTAAAGAGACCTGTCGGCACAAAGTGTGATATATGTAGACTCGTTCCGGAGCTGGTTATACAGGTTCGGGCCAAATCTCTTTCGACCGTCCCCAATTCGAGGCCGATTCATTAAATATAATTCCGAAAACAGGATATAAGTTATCAAACCGCCAATTAAAACTGAACACAAGCTTGCAAGAATGTCGGGGTTAATAAGGTTTTACGTGAAGCTGCAAAGGTTGCTTTCCTATAGTTCCGCTAAGCTATTAAACGCTTTGGTAATTAATATAATTATATGTATTACGCTTTGTAGATGAGAAAGTAATAGCATTACACACAACTGTTCGTCACTAGTAACGGTTGTTACAGGAGCGATGTTATTTTTCTCAGAATTATAGAGGAACTAGTCCGTGTATATTAGGGTAGGTTTATATTTTTGAAACGTAGCTTCATTTGTAGCTTCAAAAGGTCAGACTAGTAGAGTGGGCAATGAGTTGGGCTTCTACCCTAAAGTTCAGGGTTCAAACCATCCAGATCATAAAAGACTTTCATCTATGTGAAGTTGTCGAGGCCACCTTAACGCATACGCCCCCTTACTAAAAAAGGGAACCTTCTTTCGGAAGAGTCAAACATAATTTTAATTAGAGAAGACTAGTCTTAAGGGAGGTTTTTCAAAAACGTTTACTAGCTTATACATCAGAGCATTTTGATCCTATTAATAAAGTTATTAGAGATACGATTAGGTCATGCTTCGGTAACATTAGTCTTTTATTATAATAACGTTGCTTAATCATGCATTACAAAAACCGTAATTGTAATACTTTTGACTATATATTATCCTTTACATTTGTAAACATAACATTGAGTCTGAAAACTACCAATGGATGGCTTTGAATTTTTTAACGGTGTTTTAAAATAAGTATACTAAAATGTATTAATTCTTCTTCTCTTCTCTTGAACTGAAGTATTTTGTATCTCTGAAATTTCCCATTTCGATCATATACTGATAGTACAAACTCAATAATTATCAACTTATCTCAAATTAATTCAGAACGTCAAAATTACGTCGGGCTAGAAAACATGACCTAACAAAAGTCGTTAACTAAAGTCAAATCGTCAATCTGGCAATAAAACGAAAGTACATACTTCTTGTTGGTCAACTTCATAAGGTCTTCTTTCTCGTGAACATCCAGTTTATAAATATACTACTTTATAACTCCTTGTCTTAATCGTACATCAGGTTTCACTTTCATTTCAACATTCATCTGTGCCCGGTTTCAATTCAAACCCGAAGAACTTTCCAGGGAAGGCAGTGGCAGAAGTAAAGCAGTAAAATACAAGAAGCAGGTAGTCGACCAAGGTGTTAGCATATAAATTATATACAAGTGGGAGAAATGCAGAGCCAACTTTCAAAACAAAGTAAGAGCCGAAAAAGTGTTGAACACCCAACCAATGTTTTTATGGGCCTGTCTAGTTTTTTTTTATTACACGTGTGTTAATTCATGTTAAAGTGATTTCGTCGAAACACACTTCCATAAAATGGGTGCTGATCGCTTGTGCTCTTGAGCTTACCAATGACATTGCTAAGTTGTTTCTGTGGTGTTTTAACGTCCAAATTAACGTCTTAAATGTGATAGTAGGTTTTACAGGACAGTTGAAGAAGAAAATATCAAAGATGTTATGGAGTGGCTATCTGGTAATAAACCTCAATCGGTTAGTATCAGAACCTATATATGTATGTAGAACCACTAATACGACTATAAAATGTATTTACACCTAATTAAAACACCTCATTTGTCAATCAATATATTGAATTGAAGTGTAAAACTGTCACCCCCTACCTGCATATATATCACAAAATATTCTGTAGTATATTGTGACGTTCCTCATACTTTCAATAATTGCATCAAATTTTGGCAAAACTTGTAAATCATCTATTGGCCTGTAATCTCCACACTCAGTTTGATCACGAATATTGAGTTAACTGCCCTGCACAGGGGTAACAAGCGTTGCCAACTAACGACCAAAGAACCGAAAGTGTTCGCATAACACCGAATTATCTAGTAACAATTAGGCCGTTATCCAACACGGGTTTTGACCACGTGCATTTCCCTAACGAAGTTTCTACTAAACTAATCGCTAAATGGAACTGGTTCAAAGAAAGTTGCCTAGTGACAGGCGATAGTGCGTATCATTAGTGATGCGAACCCACTTCTGCAATTAGTTTTTCGTCTCGGAATGTTGGTAATAAACAGTTTTTGAGGCTGGTATTAGCGGACTCTGGATTTTGTAGGTTGCCACCAACGCTAGTTATTAGCATCGTTGGTGAGAGTGGAATGATTATGATTAAGTAGAGACTACACAACTATCTGAGCTGTCATTTGCAAGTTGTAGTGAAAAAGCTTGTTTGTGGAATGCTAACTTTGGGATTTAGCTTAGTTTTTTGAGCAGTGTTTGAGGGTAAAACACTGTTTTACAGAGCTTTTTTATACTGACTCGGACTTTTTCATACATTTTTTTTGTACTGGTTCGGATCAAAATTAGACTTGAAGAGAACACGTTCATTGACAGGACGTGGTGTTATGTGTTCAAGTGCGCTGTTAGTTACAGATCTTCGTATTGCTAATGCAAAAATGTTATAACGATATGGATCATAAACACAATGACGTGGCTAGCCCGAATCAAAGCTACATGGTTTTGTTTTTTTTTTTTTAGGGCGAGGAGGGAAAATGCTTTTACGCACACAGGTTTAGAGCTACATGGTTTAGACAGTCCCATTTAAGCAATGTTAAATAATATTTACTTTCGGGCCATATACTAGCTAGAGAGTAAGAGACAAAAGGAGCGCTGACGTCTTCAACAACAGCAGAGTTGAAACACGTAGGGGAGAGCACGTAACAAAACGCTTACATTTTCCCCGAAAACCCACGCATGTACAGTACCTACGATGTATATCAATGTTGTAGCAGGGGCATGTATACTATACCTAGTCGAGGTCTTACAAAGGGTTGAAACATACAATAAAAGGACACTTCACACAAACGTATATCTCTGAGCGCGTTTGCACTGCATGTCACCTAGTATTGCATTTGTGTTGTTACCTGTTAAGGGCCAGTTTGAGGTCCAGTTTGAGTTTGTTCAGCAGGTCAGTGACTGAGGCGAACTGTCGTAGGCTCATCTCCCCCGACTGAGGGGTGCTGAGGGTGATGATGCCCGGCTTGGTGTCCTCTTGGCGGCGACCCCACTTACGCAGCGACATGGCGTAGTCCTCAGGGTTGTAGAGGGGCGGCCGTGGCTGTGGAACATGGTAGAGGTTAGGGAAGTGACATTCAATAGTGGTAAGACATTAATTTTTGTGAGGGATAATTACGGACGTTTTCCGTTTTCCTTCACTATTAGTAAAGAGCAGAGTTTCACAATTCTGATAGTTTTATGATATAGAATCTGACCCCGTCTACACGTGAGAATTTGGTACAGTATTCGGAATACGGATATCAGTTCAACATCTCAACCAAAGCTGATAAATCATAAAGAAAAATCGCACAGCTCTGGCTGGGTTTTCTCGCCTGAGGTTAGGATCTGAGTTCAACCTAGTAAAACCTAGTTTTTACTGTTCATGCTGGAATATATCAGCGGACAAAGAAAATAAAAAGATAATGAAGAAAATGTTCGAAATAATTCCTCAAATACAAATTCAGCTTACCATAGCCAGAATTTAAACAATCAACGAATTATGGGTTTTATTTAGGTGATTACATAAAATGTACATGCATTGCCTTGGAACTTCAGTGATGTCGTAGGCTCGCATCTGGGAGAAACCTCTTAGCTTATAAACAGTGTAATTTTCGTTTTTCATATTGGTAAAAATTGCCGATTAGTTCTAAATCTTCCTTCAGCCGACCATAGAGGCCTTGGGCCCAGCTAGGGATGTTAAAACGTATGTAGTAGACAAATATATATGGTAGGGAATTCCGTACAAGGTTGTAGCCAATAGAACAGGTGAAGAAACCCCCTACAAGTTGTAGCCAATATTTTTATTATAAAATGGCATAGTTGAATGGACCATTTAAGAGTGTTCAACGGTCTACAATATTCCATTTTACTTAGTAAATAGATTAAGAGAATGCGTCACCCACAAAATATCTTATATTGACTAATAATTTTCTTCGTTTCAGCATAGACTAAGCACAGGCGAAAGTTTAATAAATGGTTTCAGGTAGTAAAATGTAAAAATTGGTATTGAGAATAAAAGTTCAACAAAAATATTCACCATCCTGGGAGTACCATTAGTTAGTACACACTTAGAACAGTACTCTATTAAATAAGGTTTTATATCCTCCATCAAGTAATTTTTGCACTTAAATAGTTATTCCGTGGCCATTAGTTCCACTACTCTTTTTATCTGCTGTTAACAATCTTAATTCTGCTTCCGAGCGAAATTACATAGCGGCCAGTACTTATCTATTGATAGCTCTTCAGTCTTCCTTGAGGGTTTCTTTCTAAACTCCGTCCACAAAGTATCCGAATTGTATTTTGATAATTACTAACACTAACTGAGTAAATATCGATAATACGGTATACTAATTTCTACTTGTTTGGTTTAGCTGAGTAATTTCCACTTAAAACGTTGTATGAATGATATACTACGTACTAGATAAAAACTGAAATAGTATATTTCGTACCTAGGGCCGAAAATGAGGTTTTGCCGGCTCGAGATAGTTTTTAAGTTCGAGACGAAGTCGAGAACTTAAATCGATCGAGAGCTGCAAAACCATTTCGGTCCGTGGTACGAACGCTATTTTTCACCACACTTTACCCTATTACCACTATTCACCACTATAATAATGCACACTGATAGTCAACTCAAATACAACTTTAAGGTTATGGGAAGAAATAGTTTGAGGAATCAGCAAAAATAAAAATAAATAGTTGCTAGGCAACGGTGACAATAACACAATTCTCTTGCAATGCTATGGATTTCGATTGTGTATTTAACATGCACGAGAGGTCGTCCAGTGGTCGAAACTCGACCAAAAATATGTAATGTACTCACTTAACTATTTTCACCCCACACTGTAAATAAAACATGTGATTGGAGTTTCCTCCATTTGTTTTGATTTTCTGTTTATATTTCGTTGTTATTTCGTAACCAGCATAGCAACGCATAAGATCCATGTTAATTTTTTACAACTTTTAAACTTATTTTTTGTGCTTATCTTTGAGCCTATTTAAATTTATAAAGGGATTCTGCACACCTACAGGAAAATAGCTTTCCAACGGTATGCGTAGATTTTCCCTACGATGCACACGAGCTGAGAAAAAAGGTTTTAAAGAAACATGCTTGCCTATTAATATATAGATAGAAGATTCATGTTTTAAGAAAGTAAGCGGACAGCTGATTTTGCGGCCCCGGCCTGTAAAAACCTGCTTGGTCCCCAAATTACGATGACAACTGGCATGGCCAGCAAAACGTAACTTTCGGCCACCAATTAACATATGTAATACAGCAAAAAACATCATAGTGTGGTGAAAATAAATTATACTTTCAATTTAGTGTGAAGAACATGTTATTCAGATAATTATTCACAAGAACTGTTCGTACACAGCATAATCAGCTGGGTTTTTGCCGAACTCCAATCGTGTGAAAGGCAGTAAAAAGCAGCCTTGCATCCTCACAGTACCATTTACCATACTTAAAGAGAGGCGAGCAAAAACCGTTTAATACCTTCAACCTTTTTGGGAGGTGAAACCTGATCTGTTTAACATAGAATTACTCCACCACTTTTTGTTCGATCAGTGAGTCTTTTTACTAGTTCTTCGGCACAGTCAGCTAAAAAATATAATAGTTTTAAGATAATCGATCAAGATTTTCAACGATAGGATTAAAATAAACTTACGTAGTTGCTAGAAGGTGTAAATATTTGATTACATCGCTTGATGTGATTTATTTCAAATTTGTGAATGCTGCTTATATGAACTGTGTTGGACATAATGTTTATTAATAGTTATTAACACGATACCATAAATAGGATGAAATAACTGATTGACACCTACTATATAGATAAGAGGAATTTCCACTTACAATTGGATACTAAGGGTGTAAAGGCTGTTCGAAATGTCTGAATAGAATTATTTACAGTTAGGTTTATGTTTTTAGTTTTCATAAATAATTTTTGACAGTTTGCGAATAGGGCGTTTTTATTTCTTTTAAGTGCGTAATTCAACAGCTTATTGACTGTAAATTTTTGTAAACAATCTTTATTTTCATGGAATATTTTCACTTTCTTTTTTCAAAAAGTTTATAAAATTGTATTGTGTTTAAATGTTTGTTTTTCCCCAAAAATAATGTCTGGGAATCGGAGTAGCCTGGTAACACTTCAGTGGATTAATGATCATGTCAATTACTTGGATGGAACTATATTATAGATGAGAATTTTTGTAGTATGTCAATAACGTGAAATCTACTTGACCAATTGAGCTGATTTTTTCCATGAATAGAGTCAATATACTCATAACGGGACATGTAGTATTGTTTTATTTTACTACTCTCCTAGGGCTCTAGCCTGACGGCTTACATAGTGTCTATGTTATCTCTTATATTAATACGTGAGGGCTGTTTTTTGTGAACAAAACTCCTCCCTTATTTCTGGACCGATTTTAACGTTTGAGGTGCCAAATAATTCGTCTCAATTCGTAGTTTTGCATAAAGGTTTTAGAATTTTAAAACTCTTACCCTAAAGGGCACGAGACGCTCTCAAAGGTCTCATTTTCCCCATAAGAATTACATTGAAAACAAATTTAAAAACAAAAACAGCTGTATATAAAAAGAAACTCACCAGCTTGATGGGAGTAAATATTGATGTTTGTAATGTAATATTTAAGAGGTTATAGACAAATCTATACAGACAATCAGTTTTGTTAGAAGAACGGAAAATTTCTCGAGTTTAAAGGAGAAATATTGAAAACAGGAGGAGAAAACAATTAATAGGAAATATTATACGTATGAGAAGAGTAGAGGAGAGGCCTGGTCTCACAGTAAGGAATCCAGGTACACAATCACTTGGATAAATGAATTATTTTTGCCAGTTATGCTAAGCAACTTATTTTGGAAGTAAAAAAAAAACTATGAAGAATATACACATCATGTTGTCACAGTGGTAAAGTAAACCTACCTAAAGTCAGATCAAATAAATACATGCAAGAAATGTTTACTGGTAACAGCTATAATTTGGGAAACATTTGTAGAAAAGACTAAAAAATAAGGTCTGGTCCAAAAAATGCCAAAATATTTTTACAAGAAGCGTTTATTATTTCAAAGAGCTATTAAATATTGTGACTATTTCAATTAGTTACATAAGCATTTAGTTGGGTCTTTCATACTCATCAAAAATTATGACTGTTATTAATATAGTTTTAAAATAACTTCTGTATAATGCCGGTACTTGACAATTGCTCGATTTTGAGCAACAGGTACACTAGTTCTTATGAATACACTTAATTTTAGAATCGCCAATTGGTACAAACCACGTGTTTGAAAATTATTTTATCAACATTGGTGGACATTTGTTTATGAGTGAATAAAATCTTATATTATTTTCTTTAAGCGTTCTCTTACCGTTGTGATAGGGTGGCTAGTCTTCTATAATTTCCTTTGGAGAGTTACTTAACCCAGATTAACCGAAAGAAAACTTAAAACTCCATAAATGACCACGCACGATTCCTAGTATCAACATCTTCTACAAGGGAAGCTGGTGGTATCGTATTGTAGTCTATGGCGTGTGTAGAGGTGTAGAGGTGTGTAGGGTCTCCAGACAACAATGTAGCCTAATCAACGAGTCTGAGTGTGTGACAGAGATGGCAGATGTCCTGAGAGAGATGCAAGACGGTACAGACCAAGAGACAGAACAAAAGCAGGTGCATCCTTTAGTAACACATGTTACGTCTGGATTCTGACGTTTTTTAATCACTTTTGCATAAAACATAGTTGGAACCCCTAATTAGTAAATACCAATTGATAAACTCCAACAATTTGCAGGAAAACGAATGAATTGGGTTAAATAATTACAGTAGGACGATGATTTAAATATTAAGATTGTAAATTTTTTCATTCGTATAAAGAACACGTAGAATTAAGATTCAGTTCTTACTAAATACAAGATTAAACATCGAACCTTGTGTTTCCATCTAACTCTACTACAGCGATGATTAATTCTTTGGAAAAATTGCTATAAGGCTTGGGTTTTTGAAAATATGATAACAATCAAGTTGAATTCTTGGTTTCCGATTACATTTCGT